TAATGACGGTGAATGATGTCTAATGATGTCTAATGATGGTCAATGATGGTCAATGATGGTCAATGATGGTCAATGATGGTCAATGATGGTCAATGATGGTCAATGATGGTCAATGATGGTCCATGATGGGCAATGATGGTGAATGAATGTCAATCATAGTCAATCATGGTCAAAGATAGTGAGATTTCTTATGACGGTGACTGACGGGAATGAAGGGAAATGGTGGCGAATGATGGGGAATGACACCCAATGACAGCAAATGATGCCAAATCACATAAATACAAGAAAAATATATAGTCCGAATTGGCAGTTTGGTGTATATAGAACATGAACGTATTACCTCTTTCTTTACCTTTCTGGGAAAATCACGTGACCTCATCCACAGGGAACCCATGAACTCATGGAAGCGAATCTTTGTTTACAATGTATAGAGTGTGTGCAACCATGTGACTCCAGATCCCTGGAGATATGAATAACAATGAAACAGCCGCTATCTTGCCTGATCTAACAAGAGAAACTATGAGGAATGCTTTGTTATCCTCAACTAAGATGGCAGCAATGACGTAACATGCACACGCTCTAGATATGTTTTCCTTGTTAGGGGAGTAGGTTATGGGTCATTGGTTGTCTATGCCTGGGGGTAGGTAGGGGTACCTTGGAATAAAACTAGATGGGGACCTAAAATATCCAGAATAGGCTTAGCTTTCTTAAAGTTTACCGCCACCTGGTTGGCTCAGTTGGTTGAGCATCAGACTTTCGTGCTGGAGATCATGGTTGGAGTAGGTCCAGGCCAGACCAACACTCAGGGTCTTAAACTAACTGAGGTGCTGCCTTTGTAATAGCGACTACAAATAGTTAGACCTTCACATGGATCGGATGACAACATAATATGGCAGTCTCTCCACACTACCACAGTACCTCACCATGCAACAGAGGGACATAAAAGAACCACTGAGGTTGATTGGGATGGGTATGGGGATTTTACAGGGTAAGAATTTGGAGCAATGTACCTCAAAGGGGACCCTGATATTGTGCAGCACCAGCTTGCAGGCAAAATCTCAAATAAATAAAAGTTCTTTTTGATACTCCACCCCCTAAAAGTTGTGTTATCAAGCAGCTTCCAGTGAGTTTGGCGACTGGTTATTAAGAGGGTGGGAGCTGGTGCAAATTTGTGGTGGGCCACCAATGGACCCTTCTCAAAAATTAAGTTGGATGCAATGCTAGCATGGAAATACAAAAGAAATACGACAAATTCCATTGTGATTTCTTTTGCCAGGCCAACATAATTTTGAGATGGGTCCATTGATGGCCAACCCCAAATTGAGAAGGGTCCATTTTTATGTAAGAAGAAAAACAGGGTCATATATGTTTATGCAACTAAAAGTGTGTATATAGTAAGGAGAAATGATGTTAAGCAATACTGAAATATGAGGGATGGGGCAGCTGAACAAACTCAAGGTCAACCAATCAGAATTGAGGATTCTACGATGTATTTTAATTAGAAAACCCATGAAATTTGAACTTTTCATGATTCTACAACTTGATTTACAGGCTAGTTGAACTCAGGGCAGAATCCCATTTCACTTGAGAAGAGAAATTTACATCGTACTCAACCCCTGCCTGGAAAATGCTAACCCAAAATAGGTGACCCATGATTCCTTTCAGTGAACACAGTTAAATCAGCTTGTACTGTTTTTGCATCAGCTTCCCTGCCCCTCTATATGACTGCTCCTCGTACAAGTATGTGTGACTAGCTTCTTGGTGCAAATCTCCAATATTAGATATATATTTACTTGTCTTGACCTCAAATCTTCAGCAGGTGTAAAATGCAACATTCGATCCCTTTACATTCATGCCTAAATATTATTTTGCTGCTTGAATTTTGATCATCCAATGATAAAACAGAAAAGTAAACTGATAATCGACATCGGTGTTTTCCTTAATATTCATCAAAGCAGAGGAACAGCTGATTAAACAAAATTAGTTTTAAATTTTCCAGCCAGTTACCCTCCAAAAAGCAGAGCATTATGGAAGATGTGAAAAAGGCAGATATTTCCAAGATTTATCATAAAAGCTATGGTTTTGCCAAAATTTAGACCAGAAAATGAAACCCCATTCAAGACCCTGTTTAGGACTCAATAAGAAAGATGATATAGCATTTGATGTTAATTTTACTTTAATGACATGCATTCTTGTTCTTCACTTATTTCTTTTACTTAAAAATAAGCAAATACAAAATAATATCTATAGCAACCCTTGAAGACAGAGTCAATGTCACAGTGTCCTGTGTCATGTTTAACCAGGTTTATTTTCTATTGTTTGCCAATGGGATTCGTTAAAAACATTAATCTTAAGGTCCTGATTCCCATCAATGGACAACTTAGAAAGCGATGAATTAAATATCTCACTCATATGATAGACATAATCTTCAAATATTAGCTTGTTCAATGACCTTAAACAAATTTCCTTACAACTGACTTTCTTTAGTAAGGTTCTACGACTGCATTAAAGGAATCTCTGTAACATAAAAAGTCCTCATTAAAAATCAAATTGTCAATCCTTAAATGTAACTATAATGTATATAGTTCAGTATCCATACTTTAGATCTGTGTGGCAGCCTCCTGTATGGGACGATCCAGTTTAGCTTTGATGATCATATTTTGCAGTCTATTCAAGCCCTTTTTCAGGGAGTCTTGATGCCGTTTCACCTCGGACATTCCTTCATAAAGATTTTTTTCATACTCTGATACTTGTTTGTTACTCTGTCGTAGGTCTTCATCTTTCTTGTCTTGTACATAGCAGTTGTCAATTGGCCTCTGTTTAATGTTCATGTGTTTACCACGAATTTTTGTTAGCTCAAGATTTAACTGGTTGAGATTGGCAGTTGAATCTTGAAGCTGAGGAAGACAAATAAAAAATATTTTCAATGATATGTTTCTTTAGCTACAATCATTGGCAAATTATTGGTACAGTACGTTGTGTTGTTGTTGTTTTTTTCAGACAAAGTACTTTTTACACTAGTACATATCAATACTACCCCCTTCTGATTCAGTCTTTTGGGTGCACAAGCACTTACGAATACACTTTCATTTCACAGTAATGATGGTGTTGGGGAATTTTGATTCATAAAAATCTGAAATCATCCTTTTTGTTTGAAATTATAACATTGTACCAAGTAATTCTGGCAACGATTGTATATAACTCAATGAATAAAATCAGAGTGAAACAAATGGACCTTTATATATTTTTTTGGGATAGTGGAATACAAGTAGCAATAAAAATTATACAAGTGTCCTTAAATTTGAAAATATAATACTACTTTTCATAAGACTGAAATGGGGAAGCTTGGAAATTTTTTAAGTTCTAGCAAAACATGAGGGAAGATAAAGCTCACTAGGCTCAAAGGCTATTGTTGAAAGATATCTGGTTTTTTTTGTATGCATGAGCTTTATTTTCTTTATCATAAGGGGAAACACTCTTCAACATTCATACTTAATGTGCTTCACAATCATTATAGTTGGTGGCATATTAAGGTGTCCTCAGCTGTCATGCAGCTTGCAATCATAAGAGGATTGTTAATTACTACATTAACATCCAATTGAGTTAGGCAGTAAAACAAGGAGATGATCCCCTAATTTTCACCTAGAGTCTGTCATAAAACCTAATGTTTGACAGGATGAAGCAATGGAACAAGAAAGAAAAATCTAGACAATTCCTTGAGTAATTATTTTTTTCAATGGTAAATATGCAATAGAGTCTTTTCAAAATTGTCTTGGACCAAAAGGAGTCTATAATATCTATTATATTTATTTACCTATTTCAACAACATGAAAAAATACTAGCAGAGGAGGTAAGGAATGTCATCACAAGTTTTCCCAATTAAACTCTATATGCAAAATGACATACACATGATGCTGGCAGCCCAATGATGTGTTATGTTTAGCCATGGTAACAATAATTTTAATATTCAAGTTGTCCGCATGTTATTGGTTTAAAAAGTAAATGTCTAACCAGCTTGCTTTTATTCTCTAAAAATCTGGAAGAGATTTGACAGCCAGAGTATTCATTAACAGAAAATAGATCCAACTAGTATGAATCTATTACCCTGTCTTATCACTAAACTACAATTTTATTATAATCAACTTGTCAGCAATGATGATTGTGAATTTTTGAAATTTCAGCTGGACTTTTCGTTGGTAAATCATGTGGGAAATCATTTTAGTAAATTTATGGAGAACAATTATTGGATGTATAAAATGAAAAAATAATTTATGTTTAATGAGAAAAAAAGAATACTTATCATAATTAAAAGATATTGTAAAAGTGTGCAAAATATAAATAAGATGAGAATCAAACCCAAAAAGATAACAATACATTTTGTGCATATGTTTTAACATACAGTCAATTCAAAAAATGTTGTCGTCGACCAATTCAAGCCTACGCGACTGGACTGACAGGAACTCTGGGTAGTAACCACTGAAGCCGAGTTGACTCCATAATTTCATCTGACTAGTTATGCCTGGTTTACAGCACGAACGTTCGTAGGCGAGCGGGAAGTGTTGAAGGAGACGTTTTTAAATGCCTTCATATTTTCGGAATTGTGAACTGAATCATAACTACTTCGTTTTTCTTCTCCTAAACCCAAAGACATGCATTTGATGGATTGTTTCTCACCATAATTATCTTTTACTAGCGGGAACAATTTATTCAGAACGAATAATTAACCGCTTCAGTGATTTTTACCCATATTCCTTTTGGTCCAGTCGCGTAGGCTTGAGCCGGTCGACAACAACGTTTTTTGAATCGACCGTATATAAACTCAAAGTCACATTGGAACTTTAAAATGTTGCACATAGTAATTAAACTGTAGAATTCTTCGAAAATGAAAAACACCATTTATCATTGGTTGTCAATGGAAACAAATCATGGTGCAGAAGTAGGCTATAGGAGTGATGATGGTTATCAATTGGTGTGTTTAAACCCTCCTCTGTGATTGGCAAACGTCCACCCTCCATCTCAACCCTCCTCGCCCTTACTTATTAACAGTATTAATAATTGTGTGAATCTTAGGCAAGGCAAAGGCAAAGGCAATTTATTGTCACCGTGTAAATCAGTTTTACATTGCTTAAAAGACAATAAACTCTTATTTTAGTCTCCTCCCAACCCCCCCCCCCCAACCCCAAACACACACTCCCTCAGCATCGAAAAGAACTTACCCTCCCCCTCCCAAAAAAAGTTGTACCCCCATTAATGAATAAAAGTTAGATAACCATGCAATGGTACACCCACTATATAATAAACGTGCACACAGACAATACCTCTGTGCACATATGAACTTAAGCCAGGAAAAAGATAGAAAAATTATGATGATATGAGTGACCAAATCTATACAAAATGTCTTCTCAACTAAAATTTTTATCAAACTAACCAAGCAAGAAATATCTTGAAAGCCTCTTTGAAGTTATTGACGGCGTTTCCAAAGACAACACACAAATATATATAATGGACATGTTATATACCAGGGGAAGGGATCCTCCCGTACTCTAGCTATAACGACAAGAGAGACAGAAATACGGCTCGAGTAGAAATTAAGCTGTCAAAAAGATAATATTATTACCTTGGAAAGCGAGGTAGTGATTGTTTGATCTTGATTCTTGATTTTCTGTGGTAGTTCACTGTAGCCATGCTTATCCATCAGTTCCTTCAAACTTTCAGCAAGCTGACGTTCAGTCACCTCTTGGAGGTACGTCTTGTGAATGATCCAAGCAGCGTCGATATACAGCTTTAAATCCCTCTTTCCCCAGTCATTATAGGCCCGATCACTGCACAGCTCTTCGGCTGTCTGGTTCCAGAATCTCCAATATTCTCTGGTCATCTCAGCGTCTTGTACTTCTATTTCTCGATCAGAGAAAATCCGAATACCCCTGCGTCTGGCAAACGGATATTTATCCCCGGGAACAATCTCTGGGAGCTTTTCTGCTACCTTTGCAGATGCTTTAGACCTCTTGGACTTCTTCCTCGGTGGTTCAGCGACTTCTTTCTCGCCATTTTCGTTTGGATTTTTAGGGACACCGGCTTCAAGTCCACCGTCAGGAGCCTGGCTTGCAGATGGTAGCTCGTCTTTCGCTCTTGAATCTACCCCTTCCTCGTCTTGATTCTCGTCATTTTGGACTGGTACTGGTACAGATTCTTCATTACTCATGGCTGAAGTTTCTCTAGACGTTGGATTTTCAGAGATCTGAGGTTAAGGAGGTGAAAATGAGAGAATTCAAAGAGAGTAATAGAGGTTCTTGTATTTCTTTGAGAGCAACGCGAATCGGCGTCCTTCTAATCCAATCGAGTGACCACCCCTCCCTATTGGTCACCAGGCTACTCGCGATATATCACGCGGTACCCGCATAATCCCGAAAATCCACGCGATTAGTCCCGCAACAAGTTCCACTAAATTCTCACAAAATATTTTTCCGAAGGATCTTCATACTAAGTTTATAATGTTAATATTTCATGGTGTACAAAGTGCATAATGTAGGGTTAAACTCAGGGAACCATAGCAGCCACATAGCAGACAGGGAGGTTTAGTAGCTCTATAGCCCCAACTCCCCCCCCATCCATTGACCAAGATTTTTCACATTTCATTTTGTATGCTGGCATGGCTATTAGCAAATATTATAAAGCTACACTAGTGCATGCTGAAAAAAMCAACTAATGTCCACATGCCCTTGCAAATGATGAAATAAACTTTGGGCTCAAGATTAAAGACCGAAGAAAATTATGAATTACAAAGTAAATACGTATAATTGATGTGTAAATACGTATAAATGATCAATAAATAGTTTAAGAAAAAAAACCCCTGCAGTTTGACAATTGTTTATATATAGCCTAATTTTCATTCCACATCACTATGAGTATTGAATTATTGAATTTGAAAGAGTTCAATTATTGTGTGACCCACCCCATGTTTTTACCTGTGTTTATAACAATTCTCTGACAAGTTTCTCAATTTTAAAGATTTTTCACTGTAAAAGAAAGTATGCCTTTAGAAAAACAGTCTAGTTATGTAATAATCTATTAATCCCCAGATAATACATCACGATAACGACTTTAAGAGCTGGCTTTAATGTGTTTTTACACAAACAATATTGAAGAAATAAAAAATGGGCATGTGTGCTGGGGGCAGTTGGTGCTGGCAGAACATGAGAGAAGTGTAAGGAGGAAGCATGATGTGTAGCAGAGTGTTTCTCAACACTTCTCAAGTTTTCCACCAATCCCCAAGTGCTTTCAGTAACTCCACACATCACAGCAAGCAAGTTCTCATTTCGTTTATAAAATACCTTACAATAACTAATATTTTGGATGAGGATGACTCAACTGAAAGTGCGTGTGCATGCTGTGTGCTCTCATAAAGCTTGCCCTCCAACCAATCAGAACGTGAGATTCATATCAAATTTTTTATAATACTGATTACTAAATAGAGATCACGTTAAGAACTTGATATTATTTTTATTTAAGAGTTTTCATATCACATCAAGAACGAGCAAGTCCGCAAGTGAATGAGTGATATGGAAAAAAATTGAAGAAAATATCAGGCTCTTAACATGTAATAATTTACCTATTACACATTTAGGATTGATACAATAACACCCTTTCCAGTTTACCATTTTCCAGTTTACAATTTCCAGTTTACCAGTATGGTTTTTATTCATGGCCTTATCACATGGATACCAACCCTAAATGTGTAATGTATATTTTCATCAGTGATCTACTTATCATAGATTGTAAGAAAAATCGTATGAAATTTAAATGAAATTTAAGAACAATATTTAATCATTTAAGCTAAAACATTATTTTGTGGTTTATAGGCACCAAATAGTTGCCTCAATTTTTAAATTTCACTTGTTATGGCAGAGTGTGCTATATGATGCAGCTGATACAGTACAAACAGTGAGTTTTATACACTTAGTGACTTCAAAAAGATACCTAACAATTTTGAATATTCTTAATTCTCTATATTTTCCAAAAAATCGTCATAAGCTTTCTCATCCATGAGATCGTCAAGCTCTGACGGGTTCTCAACTTCCATCTTTACTATCCAACCTGTAAAAAAAAGGATTACTTTTATTAATAACCCTTTAGCAGCACCATATCTTCACTTTTCTTGCTACATACTATTAAATCGTTGTTATTTATTACTTATTATTAATCAAATAATCAAAGACCAATATCTTATTTACTATAATTTTGTGAGTCTAATATTATTAGAAAAAAAGAGTGTTGTGCTCATTGTTTGAAATAATCCATTGTGAGGAGGCATGAGGTATGAGGAGGTATTTTATGGTTATTTGTTGTTCCTTGTAATAAWTACAAGGAACAACAAATAACCATAAATGCCTCCTCATATAAAACACGGCTTGTATGTGAAAACCAACTTAAACCAAATTTAATTTATCTGTGCCAGTAATGTTTTGTATATTCAATGATTACTTATCATACACCACAGCAAACTAAAGCAAGCCACAATCAAACTATAATTTTTTTCAAGTTATTCAACATCTTACCTCATGTAGAATCAATACTATGAATATTGTCAGAAGGGTGATAAACACTTTAACCACATTTTATCACAAATTTTAATGTATCCACATACTTCTATGCAGGGCTTTTGTATGTCAAACCAACACATTTCGATGCAAAGCTGGCTGGATTTACCAAATAAAGTGTGTAAAAAAGCCAAAAGTCTGTGCATAGAAGTATGCAAATACATTAAATATGGTGAGGGCATCGTACTTTTGCTCGTTGTGCTGTAATAGCTTATTACAGTGAGACTACTGAAACTGGGGCCACTTAAGCAGTGAGAATCAATCAAAATGTATAACGAAAACAATATAATAATTTAAACTTTGGGTAGTGGAGCCAATCAGAAAACAGCAGAAAACAATAGCCTTTCAACATATTATTCTTATTCCCACAAAACAATGATGATGGCTATCTAGTTGTTGAACATCAGGGTCAAATTACCATTCTTGTACAACCCAGGTTTCTGATTGGTTCCCCTACTCAAAGCTGGAATGCATTGTTTTTATTCTACATTTTGATTGGTTACCTGTGTCAGTGGCCCTGGTTAAAGTAATTACACTGTAAGCTTTCCCTGTTTCATGAATTTTAGAATTTTATACTAGAATTTCAAATCAAGGAAAATAATTTCAGAATTAAAAAAATTGGGATCACAATTTCATGTGAATACACTTTACCACCCCTGATATAAAGCCCCACCTGAGTCTCCCAGTCAAGACTGTCTTTTGTATTTTTGTTAAGTGAATATAACATCTTACCATTGTCATACGGAGACTCATTGACAAGTGATGGTGTTTCCTCCAGTGAAGTGTTGATCTCTGAGATTTTTCCAGTTAGAGGCAAAAATAAGTCACTTGCAGCCTTAACGCTTTCAAGAGCCCCAAACTCAGCTAAAAAATCAATAAAGAACAGTTAACTTCAAATTTATAAAATAAAAGGCAACACAGTTTTGTGACAACAAAAAGAGTGAAAGAAAGTTGTTGAAATATAATTTTGGAATCTTTATTCTCAACCCTGGAAAACAGTTTTCTATACTTACTATCCTTATCAAAGTGATCTCCTACTTCAGGCATTTGGACAAATACAATATCCCCAAGCTTTTCCTATGGAGGAGACAAGAAACATTAAATTTTGCCTGTTCTGAAACCTCACCATGTAAGGATTGAATATTAAGAGGCACCATAAAATTGCACTTCTAATAATAAATACTACATACTTGTGCATAATTGGAGACACCGACTGTTGCTATTCCGTTATCCACGGACACCCACTCATGCTCCTTGGTAAATTTCCTTTCTGGTTATCGATAAATATGTATAAGTTAGAAAACAACCTTCATTCAGTTATCATTATTATTATTAATACTAATTGCTTTTGTTGTTGCATTGCCATGGCTCGGATGTCTCATTCTTGTCTCATTCAGAGACATTAAATATTTAGTAAAATTAGAGTAAAAAATCTAAAACTGGGCACCTAAATAGCACTAAAAAGTGCTAAATTATCTGAATTATATTGTTTTCTATTGTTTAAACAGTACTAAACAGTGCAATGTTTTGCACAGGCTTTTAGTGCTTGCACTCTAATGTTGAAAAATCCTGAGTCACAAAATGATTTTATTCAAAAAGTCTAAGTAAAATACCTAGTAGAATTTGGCTTTTGAAGTAGGTCTCAAAAAAATCTTCAGATGTCATCATAATAGCAGTGTTATGACATAACCAAGAGAACTAAAATGAGGAAGGAAATTCTAAGGATTTGTTTTCTTGTGTCATAACACTTATGTCATAACATTGCTATTATATATCATGACCTCTGAAGATTTTTTCAAGAGAGACTCTTGAATAAATGGCAATTAGATAAGAGGTTCAGGAAAGAAAAATAAGATTTGAGTCAGAGATTGAAGGTATAGGCAATAGAGTATATAATATCCATAAAAAAACAGTCATTTTTATTTCTTTCCTGTCAGGCACCTTCACATATGCTTTCAGTTCAACCCATTGAACTGCACTACTGCTGTACTTTGCAGTGGTGATTGGTGAAGTATAGTTTGTGGTTAAGGTGGCTGGACCCCCTCACGCTTGACTGCTACCTTCCACTTTTGGAACGCTGGTGCATAAACGTGTCTTATCCGATTGCAAACCTTTTTTGCACATAAGTCACATAAAGATTGAATTAATGTTTGATGCAATTTTTAATGAGATCGGACGTCATAACACGTGATTATGATGAAATATTTGTTTTCGTTTAGAAAATAATTTTAGCCTTGCAGAGCGTTCAACACTAAAATGCTTCGTACCACATAATTATATACTACAGTAGATGCCTCCATTTGTAGAGATTTTTGAAAAAATCTATCAAGCTAATTATGAGATATTTGAGATTATTTAAATATAGTGCATGATAATCTACTTCAAAACTAAACAATGGATTTCATACGGCCGAAATTAATATTTCAGAGCTATATATTCACAAAAGTCATTGCTCATTTAGTTTTACTCTGTATCTAGTTTTAAAAGGAACATTTTGAAGGTAATCGACTTATGCGATTTTGTGAAAACGTATAGTGCAGAAGACGGGGTAAACATTTGATGCACACTTTTCATCGCAGTTTTCTAGTCAATCTTACTAGATCTTCCATTRTTCTAAAATTCGCTGATCATTTCTCTCAAAACTACGTCAGGATACAAATTAGAACTTAAACTAATATTACACAAAACTGCAAGACTATTGAACTCATTGAAGCGATCTGAAGCGAACGAGAAATACAGAAAACATTTTCTCTTTCCCAACGATTTGATGCTCTGGGAATTCTATTGTTTGCTAATGATCATAACATCAAATTCTTTCGTACCATGCACGGTCTCATCTCGCTTGGCCGCTTTCCGATTTACTCCCGAAGTATGGTTCTTTATTTAAACTCAAAAGTCTTGCTCGCTTCTTTCTTGAAGTTTTTATTTGAGGCATGTTCGGAGATTCTATTCACTCACACTGACGGCAAAGTACATCATGACAAACGTCCCACGCTTGAATAAAAAAACTGTTTATTACCATACTTCGGGAGTAAATCGGAAAGCAGCCAAGCGAGATGAGACCGTGCATGGTACGAAAGAATTTGATGTTATGATCATTAGCAAACAATAGAATTCCCAGAGCATCAAATCGTTGGGAAAGGGAAAATGTTTTCTGTATTTCTCGTTCGCTTCAGATCGCTTTAAATGAGTTCAATAGTCTTGCAATTTTGTGTAATATTAGTTTAAGTTCTAATTTGTATCCTGACGTAGTYTTGAGAGAAATGATCAGCGAATTTTAGAACAATGGAAGATCTAGTAAGATTGACTAGAAAACTGCGATGAAAAGTGCGCATCAAATGTTTACCCCGTCTTCTGCACTATATGTTTTCACAAAATCGCATAAGTCGATTACCTTCAAAATGTTCCTTT